GTTGGGGGGGAGAGGAAGTGAGACAGGGCAGCAGCTTCCAGACCAGACTTCTCAGACAGTGGGGGCTGCTCTTGGGTTCTTCCCCATCTCAAAGCCAGACTACCACAGCCTAGACCTCCTGTCTGCCAAATCATGTGCACTCTTGGTCCAGCCAAGGTCATTCAAGCACAAATGCATCAACCACTCATTAGATCCCTAACCTGTGCCAAGTAGTAAAGCACCCCAACAGACCATCACCACCTATCCTGCCAAGAGTTCTAGTTGACGTGGGTGCAGTGAGCATACAAAAGTCAGAAGAGTCATAGAGAAGGATGGTTTACACTCTGCTTGGAAATCTGCAAGGCAAGGGTGCTTCTGGCAGAGGGAACCACAGATGCAAAGCCACAGAGACATGACAGTGTCTGGAGCGCGCGAGACATGAGGAGGCTGTTGTGGGCAGTGAGACTAAAGGGTTAGATGGGGCATAGATTGTGGAGGGCCTGGATGCCTGGACACAGGGTTTAGACTTTGTCATAGAGTAGTGAGAAGCTAAGGAAGGTCTTTGAGCAGCAGTAGGGTGTGATCTGACCTATACCTTGGAAAGGTCTCTCTAGATGTGAATAGGGGAACCCACAGGGAAGGATTAGTGCAGAAAGACCAAGTTTCAGGCTAACAAGAGTGAGCCCAGAGCCTAGCCACTGAGCCATAGGCAGGGCTCTGTTTAATACTAAAATCTCTGCCAGAATTTTAAAAATTCTTTGTCACTGGCTCCCTTCCTTTGACCTCACAACTTGCTTTTAGATTAACCCTCTGACACCATTTTCTGGAGAATGAATCGTGGCCCCAGTGAGGATTAACACCTGGGCCCTTCTTGGCTAGCAGACAGACTCAGAGCTTCAAACCTCACTGCAGCTGCAAGACCACGTGGGATTTCATAAATGAGGCTTGCAATATGCAGGGGAGGCAGCAAGTCCTCTTGGAGGGGCCCCTTGTCTGAGCCTCGCCTTCAGCTGAAGAGATAAGAACCTACAATGTTGCAGCCACAGGAAATGACAAAGCAGCGACTGATCGGAGATCCACTGCACAGGGCTCATTACAGCGCTTGCCAGCGGGCGAGACACCCTTATCAGGGAGAAAATTGCATCAGGCCTCCTGAATTACTAGCGATTGGAAGCAGATTTCTTGGGACGCACTTTGTTAGATACCTAATGAGCAGGATACAGGCGGGCAGAGCCCAAAGCCAGCGGGGCGGGGGACAAATGTCTTTGTTAAACAGAATTTGTCAGTTTCCGCTCCAGGCTCCCTGGGGAGGGTTCAGGGCCAGCTAATTGAATTAAGAGCCTGTGTGCTCCAGCAAGAAGGCTCTGGGAGGGGCGAGCGGCTGGCAGTCCACAAGGCGGGCACTTTCAGCACCGAGGACAGCAGCTGCAACCAGGCTAGTCTGTAATTGCCAGGGCAGGCTGGAACTGTTGCATTTTGCATGATCAGGGATCTAGGGGATGGAGTGGGTAGAAGGGAGGCAGAAGATGTTCGGGAAGGAGGGGGAACCAGGTGACCCAAGAAGCCTCAAGCCTGTTTTGCTATTGGCCTGGTCTGTCTCAACAGACCCTCCTCTGCAGGCAACAGCGAGGGCAGAGAAGGATGCATCATGCATTCACGTAGTGTGGGGCAGCTGCGGAAGCACGAGTGGTGGGCTGGGAGCCGAGTCTGAGTCAGTGCACTGCCGTGCATCTCTTTGAGCTTTCAAAGTAGGTCTCCAATTACAGCGCTAATGAAGCAGGACGTGCTGCAGCCACGGAGCCACAGAGCCAGGGGCCACTTGTCAGCCCCAAGCTGCCTCTGCAAGCAGGGCTGAGCCTGCCAAATAGAAAAGCAAATAAGCAGGCTCCACCAGGAGCCTCCACCCCAACCTGGAGGAAAGTGGGGAGGGGGTTTTGGAGAGCAAGGCAAGGCTGGACCTGAATTTTAGCATTACTCCTTTCCCATCCTCCACCCTGACCCACCCCTACCTGAAGCCTGGTTCCACCCTGTAGTTTCAACAAGCTCCCCCTCCCATGAGGAGCAAGGAGGGAAGGGCACAATCCTTCCTGAAAAGGTGGGCAGACTGAAGCTTAGGAGTCTAGACAGGCAACGTTGACCCTAGAGAAAGGGAACTATTTGGGAGAATTTAAGCACATATGAGGCACTGTGGTCCTCCTGGGGCCCCTTACCTCACATGACAAGAAAAATTGCCTCTGGCTTTCCATGAGGGGCCTGTATTATGTGAAAGTTTAAGGATTTTTCTATAAAAGTCACTCACCTGCCTTAACCTCCAACCCCCAGGCCAGGCAAAGCTGATTGGGGCAGGAATTGGAAATGCAGACAGGTGACCTGCAGGGGTGGGGGGTGGGGAAGTACTGGCATGAAGCAGCTGTGGAGGCAAATATAGGCCAGGGCCAATCATGGAGAGGGCAGAGCAAAGCAGAGCCACTGAGTCTGGCAGGGGCTACAGGAAGAGCAGCTGGGGGTCAGGAGGGGGTGGGATGGGCAGAATAGACTGAAGTCCACAGGTCTCCCGCCTGTCCTTCCCTTCCCTCCTTCTTGGAACACCACCCCTGCCCACCTGAGACTGATAGGGTAAAAGTGCTGGTCTGGACTAAGGGGTCTGTCTCATTTTTCTTACATCTTTGTGATGAAATTAAATGAATTATACTTAATAAATTTCAAAATCCATGTAAAAGTAGAACCTGGTGTGTGCCCAGCTCTGATCAGGGGTCCACTGTCAGCTCTGGGTCACTGAGCTGACCTGGCTCATGCTGGGGCCACACAGGGTGGATGTCAGGGAGACAGGCTGTGGGGGAAGGGACTCCCTCAGCAGAGTGTCTTTGCTTTCAAGACTGATGGGGGCATCTCTTGAGACCTCTCCCTTGATTTCATTACATCTACTTCCTCCCCTAACTGGATTAGATGGCAGTCTATGAAATCCAGGGCATCATGATTGGCTTTCTGCCTGGAAATGAGAAATGTCATTATAGGTCCTGAATCAGCATCTCACCCCAGCCCCAGGGGCCACCGAGTCAATGGGACATTGGTCTTTGCCCTGCAGTTTTTCTTTCCTCCCCTCTCTCCTGCATCCGTCTACCCACTCGTCCATCCAGTGTGCATTCTGCAGGTTTCATGCTACAGCCAACCTGGCGCTCAGCTGCTCTGAGGAGGAGACAGCTGGGGTGCTGTTTCCCATCTAAAACACACAGAAAGCAGGAAACCCCAAACCATCTGACTCAGATGCTGCACAGAGGTTATGTTCAGTGGGGGGGGGGGTCTGAATGAATTTTACCCTCCCTGAACCAAAGTTACTGAGAGGAGCAGGTGAGAGAGACAGCTAGGCCTAATGCCCAGGGACACAACAGCCCCAGAAGTCTTGGTTGTGGGGTGCAGTCAGTGCCAGAGTCAGCTTCAGGGTCACCCAATGCTTTACTCTGCCCACTCCAAGAGTCCTTACATGGCTGCTGTCTCCTAGCACCCATTTGTTGGTGGGGGGCGGGGGGACGATGCCCAGACTGGGCTGGATACTTCTGTACTCGTATGACTGTCCCTTAATCTGTCGATGCAAGCCTGAAAAGACGTAATGGATGTTAATGAATTTCTGCACACCAGATTTTATTTTTAAAGGGCAGTTATTTAAAGGGTCCTAGAGGTAAAGCAGAAGGTCTTGGTCTGGTTCATCTGGTTCATATGTGTGGATTTTCGTATAGAGCAGCCACTTAAAGAGAGGTCCACCTGCACTCATTCTCACTCTGTTTGTTCAGGGTCAGACATTCAGGCATCTATCCTGGTTGGCGCTGTGCCCCTTGTTCCATTTGCTTCTGGAACAACACTCTAGACAGCGGAGTATTTGTCTGCTGTGTGGCCAAGACAGGATTCCAACAGCCGATGTTGGGCGGAAGCAGGTCACCTTTGAGGTTCCTACAAACTTGAGACTGCATGATTCTTTGAACGATGAACTTAGCCTTTGGAGGCTAACTACGGATTTCCAACAGAGCTTTCAAGAAACCTCTCCCTAAAAGGAGTATACAACATGTCCCTAAGCCTGAGGAACTGACGTTTTGTCAGAAAAACTGGCAAAATAAACCTGCAGTTGGAGGACAGTGTGAGAGCAGAGAGAGTCAGCTGCTAGAACGGAAGAAACCAGGAAAACTTTAAGCAAGCGTGGGTGGAGGCCATCAAGGCTTCCTGGAGGGGCTGGTGTTTAAGGAGGGTTGAATTCTGAACAAGCAGAGATGAGCGCAGCAGTCAAGTCAGGCGTGGAAGAAGAGAACAGGAAGAAGAACAAGGAAGGAGAAAGAGGCCCATCAGGGTAGAGAGGGAAGAGACTCTGTTTGATGAGTGAGAAGGTGATGAAGGAGATGGAATGGAAAGCAAGCCTACACAGCCAAGGGTGCCAAAGGCACTGGAGATGATCGCACCCATTGTTACTGCACCCAGTTTGGGAGTCATGGATGGCATAGATAACTTACTTTTTAAACAAACATGTCTTGAGCACCTACAATGAGGCAGACTCTAGTGGTAAACAAGGTCTCTGCTTACAGGTAACTTATATTCTAGTGTGGGGATTGGAGGAGGGAGGCAGGCAGTAAACAGGTAAATCCATTTTTTGAAAATGAATTTTCTGGTAATTACTGTGAACACAATAAAATGGGATCATGTGACTAGAGTATATTGGAGGAAGGATTACTTTAGATGTATGGGCCTCTCTGAGATGATCACATCTGGGCTGAGACCTGAATGATGAGAAGGGGACCGCCCTGAGGCTCTCCGAACAGAGAGAACAGAAGTTGCAAAGGTCCTGAGGCAGGAAAGAGCTTGGCTTGTTGGAAGAAAGGCAAGGACAGTGTGGTTAGGGTGCAGTGAGCAAGGGGGGCAGGGGGGAGGAAGGCCAGGCATGCTGGACCTCCTAAGCCATGCGGAGGAGAGGCTTGGGGGTATGGGCACGCTGATGATAGAAAGGCACAGAACAATTTCTCTGCACTTTCTCTTCCCAGAGGCCAGAAAACTTCTTGACACCAAACAACAGCAAGGTTCTGCCCATCCTGGACCCCAAGATCTTAGATGAGAAGCTGGGTACCATCCGTGAGTCCTGGTCCAAGGCCACGGTGAGCTCCACGATTGGCTCCAGCACATCCACCTCTCAGGAAGCAGAGGAAGAGCCTCAGCTGCCCAGGATGTCCCATGAAACGGTGAGTGTCTCCCCACCCTGCCACCCAGGACAGGGATGGGGCATGGGGAGGGGCCTTGCCTGCCACCTGTGGGCCGGTTCATTCCTTGGGTGGCGAGTAAACTCCCCCTTTAGGCACACTCTTACATGAGTCACCCTAAACTGGTGAAAAGTGTGGATTCTTCGTTTTACAGAGTTTCTTCACTTTTTGAATGAACTCCCATGTGATTTCTTTCAAAACAAACCCCTGCAACACTTGTAAGACCAGATTCCTCTGACTCAAGTAGTCGTCAGCTCAGAACTTCCTTGGGAGCGTGTCCTCTAGGTGATGGGAAGCCCCCTGAGAGATTAGTTTCAACTTGCAAAAGAGGAAATTGGGGCTCAAAGTAAAGAGGACACCGTCTTTGGTCACAGAGTCTGTGCCCTTGATCGTGGGAGTTGGTATGGCTTCCTGAAGCCAGTTGACGGATGCTGGGAAAGGGATGGTGAAGGCGGCTGAGGTAGTAGTGCCTTAACTTGGTGAGGGCTCAGTGCCGAGTCCTAGCCCCTTGCAGAAAGCTCCAGGACAAGCCACCAGAAAGACAGTCTGACCCAAGCCCCCAGGTGAGGTCTTGCCCCAGTGACCATGGTTAAATTCATGTGTGGCTTCCTCCCTTCTTCCACAGCGGATCCCATGGGGAACGCTGCTCAGGAAGATCCTGAAAAAAGGCCCGAGCCAAAGCCACCAGCCCATAGGGAAGCCCTGGGCCTCCTCCTCCCAGGACCTGCCTCTTTCCACTGACAGCCTTCGTGTCTTCCCCTGGCACTTCTGCACCTTCCTGGGACATATCCCATCAGGCGGATAGGAAGGAGTGCTCTCTGCTGGGTGTGCCCAGGATGCTCCCATGTGGAGCACCCCTGCCCACCCTGAGCAGGGCCCTCCCTGGCCAGTGCCCGAGCACTCACAAGCCGTCTTTGTCTACACCTCTGCCCTTTGGGAAAGCGGCTCTCAGGCCTGACCTGCTGGCTCAGCCATCAGTTGGGTTAAAAATAAAGATTCAGACCTGATTTTGGAGACTTCAGGCATCATGAATAAACCAATGCCTGCTGCTCCCACAGCCTGGTCTCATGACAGCCCCTTCCTGTGCCTCTGAGCATAGGTGGTGCAGGGAAGACAGGAGGAGCTGGAAAGGCCAGGGAGGAGAGGAAAAAGGAAGGTGCCAAGAAGGGGAAGAGCAGACTGGGAGGAAGGAGAGAGGCAAAGGCGTTCCCTTCTTGGTCACAGTCCTTCCTCCACCCCTCCAGCTCCAGGGGCCCTCCCAGGGATGGGGCCAGCCAGTCATCATTCCTCTCTCTGTCCTCAGATTTACCATGCTGGTTATTCCCACTTCTGACACTTTGCCCAAGTTGAGTCCTGGAGACCCAAGCCTCAGCTCCAGCTCCTACTCCCTAATGAGAGCTCAGAAGGACCAGGGTGGGTCCCAGGCAAGCGTTCGTGCAGCCAGTAGAGCCCAGTCACAAGCAATAGAATGTGGGTGGGTAGCAACGGCGTACAGCTCCATGACAGTCACAGGTAGCACGTAGCAGTGGGTCATTGTTCCATAGCAACCAAACAAAATTACATAGCAATGGGCAAGCTCCCATGACCGAGAGACACCAGGATGAGCTGTAGGACACGGTCAGGGGGCCGTGGGATGCCGTCGCATAGCAGTAGGCTCAAACCGTCTCACACAGCACTGCGTCACAGGAAGAGGCAGCCAGAGGGCACGGGGCATTCACATAGGGTCTCAGAACAGTGAAAGGTATGTGACTGGCACTGGAACACATCTGGGCAGCAGTGGCACCGTCACAAGGCGTGTGAATCCTGGACATGCAGCCAAGCAGTGGTCATGAGCAGCAGAGCCTGGGGGTGTGGCAGTGGGCCCGAGGACATGGCAGTGGTTGTGCAGCAAGCAGGCGATTAAGTGCGTCCCTCAGCTCTCAGCCGCGGTATCAGGCTGTGAGCCTCTCGGTGTCACCTGATTCCGGAGCACGCAGTCTGTACCTGGTCTGGTAGCACTCCCCCCAGAGCCCTGGGGAAAAGTCTGCTGCTGCTTCCCTCCAGAGCCCACTGCGGCTTAGGAGGAGATTGAACATCTTCTGGAGAAAGGAGCACCCTGGGAACAGAGAAGGGAGTGGAAGGGAGGCAGGATCTGTCCCCTCTCTGCGGAGAGGATGCCACGGCTGCTCCCTGCTGCCCTGGGGCCTGCCCGCCCACCCCTACAGCTTCCCCTGGGGGCGCCTTCCCCTTAGCGTGCCCTTGGATCCGCCTCCTTCCTGGAGTGCCATCTCGGGCTCCCTTCATCTGGGACATCTGGTTTTGACACAGGCCTTTCAAGTGCTATTCTGTCAATGTGGTGTAAAGCTCCAGTCCTCAGTGGACCCGGCGGGGTCAGCGTCCCCTGGGTGTGATCTTGGGTCAAGTGTAGGACCTGGGCAGAGCTAGAGGAAGCCTCCACCTGCCTTCTGCGTAGCCCAGAGAGTCTTTTTTGGAAGAAGTGGGCTTTTAAGTGAGGGTGAAGAGTGAGACGTTAAGAGTCTTCCCAAACATAGTAACTCTCCAAACACTCAACACTTGTGGGTGTTCCCTGTTCACCCTCTAGATGCCCTGAACCCACCTCATGCTGAACCAGGCAATGTCTTCTGACACCAGAAAGTCAGTGAGATGAGAGGCTCTGTGCAGCCTCCAGACGGGCCGGCTCCTTCACAGGGGCTTATAAAGCCCCTTCCATTGATGGAATTCTTGTTCCCCAGCAGCTCCATCTGCAGTTCCTTCAACAACCAGGAACCAGAACTCCCCACCCCTGCCACTACCCAGCTCTGTGCCCAGCTGTGCAGGGGGTGGAGGCTGGGGGGTGGGACAACGCCAAGGCCAAGGCCTTGCTCTCTGGGAGTCCCCCCGCAGGCAGGGGGTGATGGAGTAGGTGCACCATAATATATGTCCTCCTCTCTCTCCCTCCCGTACCCCCCCCCACGGCCCTGTTTCCTCCCTCCCCCTTTCCTTCGCTGCTCAGAGGAGATTTGTGGCAGACCAGAGGGCCCTCGTACCAGCAGATGAATAATTGACAAGGGTTGTTTAAAGATTCAGTGGAGTTTTTCCAACCTCACACATTGGAATAACTCATTTCTTTCATTCTCTGTTTGAAAGCCTGACCCCCTCCCTTCGTCTCTCCCCTTCCTGGTCCCCACATGCCCACCCTGCTCTGAGCACAACACTTTCGTTTCTCATCCCCTCTTGAGTCTGTTGAACTCAAGAATGATCCCTTGATCCCTCCGTTTCTTTGTGTCCCCTTCCCCAGCAACTCCCACCCCATTTAACCTGGTAGGTTGACTTCAGTTCCCCTGGACACCATTTCCTCAAGGAAAAGGGACCCATTTCAAAGGCGAGGAGAGGAAGGAAGGCCAGAGAAGCTGTGGCTCCTCCCTAGTCACACAGCAGCGGAGGTGGGGACGCAGGTGACAGGAAGGCAGTCCCCCCAGCCCAGGGGCTGCTTCCCTCCCAGCCAGGCGGAGGGGTGCCAGCTCTGCCATGCCTTCCCAGGGTGGTGTGGAACACTGTGTGTCCCTGAGCCTTGATTTTTCCATCTGTAATACAGGAGAGCTGCTTACCGTGCCTCACCTGCCTCTCAGGGTCAAGTGGAACAGGCGAGGGGCCTTCAGAAAGGGCTGGCAGTGTGGCAGAGACACCTATGAGCCTGGTCCTGAGAGTCTGCCTGGCATGGCCCTACAGTGACCAACCATCCCTTTCTGCCCCAGACCAAAGGGTTCCAGGGCTTGGAACTTGCATCGCTAAACATGAGATAGTCCCAGACAGGTTGGGTTGGGGTACTGACATGGGCCCTCCCCTGCCCCAGCCCTGCTCCTTTCAAGGGGGCTGCACCCTCCACCCCCTCCACACCCCACAGCCACCAGGCACACACCCTCTGCCTGTCAGCCCAGCTCTGCACTGTCCCCTGCACTCACAGCGCTCTTACCATCTCCTTGAAGTGACCTTGAACTCCCCTTTTCTGGGCCCCAGTCCCTCCTCTGTCAGCAAAGGAGGTTGGAACAGATGTTCCAAAGTCCCCTGGGCTTCTGGGCTGTGACTGGAGCCTTGGTCCTGCCCCCAGGCCCCCACCCAGGATGAGGTCTGCAGACTAGTGAAGCTGAGAGGCGGAGGGCCCAGCCTCGGCTCCCCAGGCACCCCCTGGCGGCCAGTGATAGGTCCTGAGCAGGAGGCAGCTGCCAGCATGGTCTCTGGGGTATGGACACTACTCATGGCAGTGGCACCTAACAGCAGAAACACCAGCCCAGGGTGATGGCATCACAAAGCCCGGGAGCCTGGAGTTGGCCCCCATAAGCTAGAGTGACACCGAACCCAGCCTGGGAGGCAGATTGCCCGGGACATTAGAGTCTGCGCCCCATCCAGATCCTATGGACCACAAGGGGCAGAGAAAATACAGGAGAAACAGAGACGAAGACAAAGAAAGCACAGCCCTCTAGTGCCCACTTCGACAGCCTCGTATCAGATGCCCCTGACTCAGTGCCCCCTACAGGCCACCAGGTGCATTCTCGAAACATCACTGTCACCCCACTGTCCCTCCTGCTCCAACACCTGCCTCTCAGTAGTCCCAACTCCACTGCCCAGTGCTCGTGGCCCCATGTGCCAGCTCAGTCTTCTGTCTCTGTCACGCCATAAGCATCCCTGTTCTGTCCTCCTGGCCTCCAGGCCCATCTAAAGACATACAGGCACCAGGTCCCAAGCCCCACTACTGCAGGCAGGAAGTGTCCTCCGGGGCTCCAGCCTCCTTAGCTCCTCCCCTGCACTCCTGCAGCCCCCAAGTGGTGAGCCCTGTGTGCTGGCATTCCGGGGCGTTCTAAAAATAAATCTTGTGAGGGTGCAACAGTCACAGCTCCTAGGCTTGGCTGAGAGCCCTCACCAGCTCCCCTCCTCTTCCTCTCCCAGCTCGGTCCTTCTCTTCCTCCTCCAGTTCCTAGAGAGAGAGACACAGACAGACAGAGAGA